ATAAGTATATTTTTGAAGGAACATTGTTTAAAATAATTTGTATAATCTAAATACATGTTAATTTAGTTCATTTCTATACTTTCCTGTAACATTGGATTTTTTTGTCATGTTACATTCAAAATATGGGTTATTAGAACAGACACCTTAGGTGTTTGACAAAATGTCTCAAAGAAACTAACACAAGTTCTCTACGCTCACCTCACAACCATGTATAAATTTTGGTTTTTTTCTGGATTTTTAGCATCATGTCTTTTTTATGTTTGCAACTTTGTAGTGTTACATGTTTTTTTTTTGTCTCATCCTCAGGTTTTTCTATCTCTGATAGGGCTTCATTTTTTATATTTATTGTAAACTATCGATTCAATCTATGTCACTTTGTTATGACTTTTATCAGCATGATAAGATTTTAATAAATTGTCCATTTCTAGATCTTTTAGAAAAAGATGTTCTAATTGGATTATCATCTACGACCGTGGTATTCTATTTTGTTGATGAAGCGATCTATGATTTGGCCATGATGGTTTTTACGGATTATGTTTGGACTCATAATTGTTCTTGTCATCAAAAAAATACATCCAACAAAAAGTGAAGGATAATATTTTTAATTAATACCATCATCTTTAAAAAATATTAAAAGAGAACCATTAATTCACCAATGAAGCAATCAGGACCCTTAATTGAATTTCAATCCTATGTTTTCCACCATTAGATCAAATTGCTTACATCATCTTCTTTAAATAGAATTCAAACACAATAAGATTCAATTATAGAAACTTTAAATTCAGCAATTTTATTATCAATTACCACATATCATTCTATTTATTTACTAGATATCAATTTCTCTAATTATTATTGTTCCTAATTTAACTCCATTATTTATAGCTTTTGGCTTCAAAATTCAAACCCGTTTAGTTTTTAGTTTTTTTTTTTTTTGAAAAAACCCATTAAATAAGCATATAAACAATTTAGTTATTAACCTATAAAAGCTAATCTAATCCCATTAAATCTGTAAAATATTTAAGAGTCAAAATTAAAGTCAACATTATTCATAATTTATCTCTCGGTATATCCCACGTAAAAAAAAATCAATTTGAGATAATGGTTTTGAATTTAAAACTTGTTAATTAAGAAAGTCAATTAATTTGAAATTTTGACTCAATAAAAATGATATTTTTTTCAGATGAATAACCAAAATTCTCCAAGATGATATCTTAGGATCCCTTTTTTTTTTTTGAAGATAATGATTTCCTTATTGGAAAAAACCTATATATACATTGAAGTTGTTCTTCTTACGATTTTGGATTGAGTCCTATGATTTACAGTGTTTCTTCTTTAGCGGTCTTATTCTTTTATTCTTTTTTCCAAGTTCTTTGTTTACCGTGTTCTCCTTCTTCTTCTCCAATCTCTTGTATTTACTCTATTCTTATTACCTCTTATTTCTACTTTATTCCTATTGAGAGTTCATTAATAAAATTATTAATCTACTTTAAGCATATTAGTTTCATTCTTTTAGTTATAAAAACAAAATTATATCCATATATATATATATATATATATATATATATATATATATATATGTGTGTGTGTGTTTATGTGTGTGTGTGTTGACCTATGTTTGTTAAGAGAAAGCCATAAAAATCATTTAAATGCATGATGACAAAACTCGTGGAACGGACCAAAAGCAAGATAAATAAGTTTTTTATTATTACACTTCAACTTGCATAAACAAATACATATATGTTGTTTTAAGGTTTTAAGAATTTTTTTGTACATATTATTATACTGTTCAGTTAAATTTTCTAATTTTATTTTGCTGAATTTGTTTATATTAATGATTTTAGTTTCAAAATCATCATTCGAGTACAAGATTTTACTGATGTGGTGTTACTTACAATATTTGATCATGATGCAAAGAAACTTCTAGAAAAAACCGCACAAGAGTCAACGAGGTTATCGATATTAACTTCATTTATATAATACTAATTTTTTACTTTTTGTCTATTGATTTTTATAACCATTTTTTTTTAATTCTTAAGAGGGTAATATGGAGATTTATCCATCTTCTTTGAATGTACTTTTGGATAAAAAGTTGGTGTTCAAAATTCAAGTTTTACATTATAATTTGGAGAACAAAGTTGATGGTTATGCAATCTCAAACTCCACTGTTGATAATACAATCATTATTGAATTGGAAAAAATTTAACATCAAACATGAAACATTCTTTTACGAAGAATGCTACAAACACTGCACTTATTAAATTTCATTTTTTTTTATATATTTTGGTTGATCAACTAACATATTTCTATGTACTAAAAATATAGGCGCCATAATCTGATTTATTTAACGTTTTATTAGCAGAATTCGGATTTCAAGACACGTTAAATTAGAAGGTTTTAAATATAATATAACTAAAACTAATATGTTAAATACTTTAAATTATTATTAACTTCTAGATTGACATATGAATTTATTTTCCACATTTAGGATGTTGTTTCGTTTACTGGTGATAACATCACACCCGTTTTGAATCTTGATAAATGCACTGCAATAAGTCCACTAACTAAATGGACATCCTTTAAAAAAGTGTATGGACATGAAGAATTAAAATGCATGTTGGGAGATGTTTACGACCTTGATAATCTGACAACAATGTCCTCAAACAAACGACCATCAACATCAATGACATATCGTACTTCAAGAGAAGACAAGTCAAAACTGTTAATTCCAAAGCAAGAAAAATAATATATGATTTTCATGATTTTGTTTGAGTAGTTGAATTATTTGAATACTATTAATCTCATATTTTGTTTACATACTATTTGGTTTTGGGGTTTGATTTTTGATGACTTTGTTTCATACTATTCATTTTTGGGTTAGAATTTTGATCATTTGAATACATTTTGGGTTTATGAAATATTGAATTATTAATCTATTTGCCTTTTTGGTTTAAACTCAGAAGAATTTAGAAATTTAATAATATTTTACTCTATTATTTCATTTGAATGTGAATTTGTCAGCATTGTTACAATGTTATTCATTACAACTTTAATATAAATATTAAAAAACTACCATTTTTTATGAAATTGTAAACTTTTATTAATTTTGTAACCATTCTGAAACAATTATTAATAAATCCTTGTAAAATTATTCATAAATTTATTATTAAATATTTACCATTAAAATATTATTATTTTTAGATATTAATGATATCCTATAATTTTATAGATTCAAATAATAAAACTCATTACAATGATGCTAAAGAGAGGCGAAGACCAAGACGTTTACATTTACAATATGGACGATTGAATTCTATGTCTAAAAAAGAAACTTTATTTCATCATCTAAAGAAATAAATACTTTTGATTGTGTTTCACTTATACATTTTCCATCCTTAGATCAAATTGCTTATGCCATCTTGACCAAATTAAAATATTTGAATTTGATGTTTATAGTTATGACAATGCTCTTTAACTTTAATATTTATCGAATTTCTTTGCAAAATTTAACGCTGGTGGTACATATAACAACTTATTGTTGCTTTTGATTTTACAGGGCCAATATGAAAAGAATCATATGAAATTCATGGGGGTTGGTACATCGAACAAGTAATTCATAAAGCTACTACGCAACATATTTTAATCAAGAAGTCACATCTTGTCGTGATAAAACAAAAATCACATGGATCATGCATGTTAAAAATTACTGTATTAAAAAAAATTGCTCTAATATAAATATTAAATAATTTTATTTAATAAGTTTGGTCCAAAAACTATAAAAATGAATGTAACTAACATTTTTTTATTAAAATTCCACCTAAGACAATGTCACCTATTAATGTAATATGTATTTAATTTATGTTCTCCGCGTTTAACGCGGATCATAATCTAGTTTAATTACTAAAAGGAAGTGAGTAATTAATCATTCATGGACCTCCTAAGGCCCAAATATCTGAGAGTCCCATAATTTATTTATGTTTGTCAAAAATACTAACGAAAGATTTATTGGTTAACCGATAAAAACAACACCTTGGTTTTTTGGTTTCGAAAAAATAGGTTTCAATAGGCGAAAACCCAATTCAAAGTTTATGACTAATATGATTAATGAAACAGTATATACGGACTACGATTGGATTGCAATCTTTTGGATTCACTCTATAGATCTAGGGGGTGTTTGTCTTAGCTTTTCAAACCCCAAAAGTTCTTTTTGGAAAAGTTACAAAAAGTTAGGATTTCCTGACTTTTCCAAAAAATTCATTTTCCTTATGTAAAAACTTCAAAAGTAGCTTCTAAAAGTACTTTGCCAAACATCCTTTGTTTTTTTTTTTTTCCAAAAAGAACTTTTGGTTTTGAAAAACTAAGCCAAACACCCCCCTATTTTATTTATTGTATATTGAAATCCATTATGACTATTTGTCAAATAATGTATTTTCTTGCTATTTATGTTGTATTATTGAAGAAGCAAATAAATATTAGTATAAAAAAAAAATTAACTGTGAAATGTCAAACATGAGCTAAACATAAAAATAACAAAATATAACTTTTATATAATTCTTTATTTTAATAATATTACTATTGTTATTATAATTTACTTAAAATCAAAATAAAAAATTTTAAAAACAATAGCAAATGTGACATTTGAAATAAAAAGTAACTAAATTAATATATTATTTCTCAGTGATTAATAACAAAATGCGGCGACGATCGATGCCTAGGGTTCATTGGCCGTTCACGGCGGCGCTAGGGTACTGTTGATCACAGCGGTGATTAGCAGCTACCACGGTGGCTGTTGCTTTAAATTTATATTCTTTTGCGATATGGGGGAAGGAAGAAACCACATGGAAGATTCAATGCCTAATCATGTAGATAAAGAATCATACTTGCATACCAGATTGCTCAACACCAAATTCAAATTTTCATTTAGTAAAATAAGATAGAAACAGAACACCGAGACGAACATCAAACTAATCAAGATCTACATACTAACATCAATAACCAAAGTTCTAAGCCCTCTCACCACGAATCCTACGAGCAAGCTGCATATCCTTAGGCATGATAGTAACTCTTTTAGCATGAATCGCGCACAGATTTGTGTCTTCAAATAGCCCAACAAGATAAGCTTCGGAAGCCTCCTGAAGTGCAGCCACGGCGGAGCTCTGGAATCGGAGATCAGTCTTGAAATCTTGAGCGATTTCCCTCACAAGCCTCTGGAACGGAAGTTTCCTGATCAAAAGCTCAGTGCTCTTTTGGTACTTCCTGATCTCTCGCAATGCCACGGTTCCTGGCCTGAATCTGTGTGGCTTCTTCACTCCACCGGTGGCTGGCGCCGACTTCCTTGCGGCCTTGGTCGCCAATTGCTTCCTCGGAGCCTTTCCTCCGGTGGATTTCCTTGCCGTCTGTTTGGTACGAGCCATTTGATTGCAGAGAGATATGAGCGTTTGAGTGAAGAATTAACGATGCTCTTTGAAGTATTGTTGTTGGATTGATTGTAGATTTGACGTAAGGGTTTATGGGATTTTATAATGCACGGATTTGGGGAAATTATCGGGAAATTAGCGGCAAAATTCAAATTTCTGGAAAGAAAAAAATTTGGGGAATTTTAGGTGTAAATTCGCACAGGCGGTCGACCATACAGGATGGCAATCCGTGTGAGTTGTATAACAACCAATGATATCTTTGGAATTAGGGTGTAAGTTTATTGAGTTATTCCGAAATATTTTGTAAAGTATCCTCACTATAAATTACTATCAAAATAAGACTCATGAATTATGAAATTATATATTTTATTTTAAAAAAAGTTATAATCAAGAATAACATTTATAATGATAAATAAAAAAGAAAAATACAAAAATATCAAAGTCGAATGAAGGCTTTTAATAAAATAGTATTTTTGATTTTTTAATTTTTATGTTAAAAAACAATCAAATAGTTCTTAGTGGTACAGTTCTGAAACATTTTATTTTTGAAATGGTTTTTTGAGTTTGTTTTTGGTAGATTCAATAGATCGTGTGTTGACAAAACTAAATCTATATTACTGGCATAGTCGTATAGGTCCTCCAATTGTAAGGTATAACACTCCATTTTTGAATTAGGCTACGACTGGCACAGTCACATAGGACCTCCGATTGTAAGGTGTAACACTCCATTTTGATCACTTATCTAAATGATGCATCATTGATTAGATCAGAGTTCGACGGTGGCTTTTGAAAACTACGATTGCTAGTCAAATTTTGAAGTCATACTTGCAATAATAGTTATTAGACTTATTCAAGTGGGAGACTGTTGAATTTTATGTCTAAGCCCATAACGATAATTGGTATGTACTTGATTTGATATGTAGCATAGTCCTTTTGGGTTGACTTCACTCACGCAACTTGATAGGATGACTAGTGAAGAGAGAGTATAATTTATTATGTGAAATGATAATTTGGTACTCAAGTGATTTTATTAGTATATTACAATATTAATATATTATTTAGAAATCATATTATTAATTGGTGATTAATCATAAATTAATTTGATATTAATTTTGGAATTAAAATAATTGATTAATAATGGAGGGGCTATTTTGCAAATCATTATTAGTTGCGAAACTGGGCCTAGGGACTCATTGGATGGGAGTGGATGAACTTATAGCTTATGCTTATAAGAATTCGTCCAAGGCATCTTATGGAGGTCCATGGGTTACTTTGGGCTTAAGATAGGAACTAAGGTTGCCTTATTCAAGTCCAGCTTCAAGACTAAGCAACCTGGCCATATATAAACCCTATAAACCCTAATAAAATTGGTCAATGCACTCTAGATTGAAACCCTGGCCGATTTCCTTGTCTCTCCTTCTCATCCTTTGCATTGGGTGTTTGTGACTCCATTATAGGTGCAAAACTTGGGGCACTAAGCTTTCAAGAGTCAAGATCTTCAAGGATTGTCTTGTTATTACAATACAACAGGTGAGGTAATGTTCTAACCCCTAAATTTATACATGAATTTCAAATATTGTATGCTAGATCTAGGGTTATTGCTTTGTTATTCAATTTGCATGTTCAATTAGTTAAAATCTTAGATCCAAAGCAATTAGGGTTGCATGATCACATAGGAATGTATATATGCTCATAACCCATCAGTTTCGTGAGAGGGCTTTGTTGGTTTCGCAGTATACGACAGACAAGGAAATGAAGAAGGTTTAGTACCATGATATGCAAAAGGATGAGATTCAGGAGTTTGTGAGCATGTCTAGTTGCAAGAAATTCGATGATATGATCACTCGGGTTCGCGAGCGGGAGATTGATATGGAGATTGTGAGGAAGAGGAATTTGGTTCAGGTGCATGTGTTAGGGGCTCGGGGAAGAAGCACAAGATTATGGATTCGAGATCGAGGGGCCAACATGGTCGAGGTTAGTGTGGCTATACACACGAGGGGTCTTGTAGGGCGGGTGGTTATGGCTGCTTCAAGTACGACAAGACTGGTCATTTTATAAGGGATTTTACCACCGCCACCATCCAAGGATCAGGACTAATTTGCTTTCATTGTAATTAGAGGGGCCGCAAGAAGGCCGATTGTCCGGGTTTGACAGAAAGGGTGAGCAGTGATAGCACATGCTCCCACGACAATGAGGATTACCAACGGCCGCCAGGGCAAGGTGGAGGCACCAGTGGTGAGGAGTCGAGCTTTCCATTTGACAGCCGAGGAGGCTCGTGCAACACCAAATGTGGTTGCAGGTATGTATTTTCTCCATATTTCATTATTCTTTTGATGTTTATGCTTATTATTATATGATTGTTGTTATATAGGGATGTTCCTAGTTAACGGTGTTCCAACCTTAGTTTTGTTTGATTCGGGTGCCACCCAATTGTTTGTGTATCTTTTGGTTAGCAAGAGGTTCGGTGACGATCCATGGAAGCTTGATTATCCACTAGAGGTAGAAATTGTCGATGATCGTCCAATGCGAGTATCGAGGGTGCATCGAGGTTGTGTTCTAGAGTTACTTAGCTAGCGATATCCGATTGATTTGGTTTCTAGTCCTTTGCGCGAGAGCAAAGTGATCGTGGGAATGGATTGTTTGAGCCGTAATGAGGCAATGATTGATTGAAGACACCAGTTAGTTAGGTTTCAAAACCCAAGTGGGAGAGAACTGGTTATTCACGACCAGGGTGCTCAACGGGGACCGAATCTTTGTTCAGCTGCGAGAGCTAGAATATATTTATAGTAGGGATGTTCTTGTTTTGTGGCTTATGTGTTGGACACCATAGAGGAGAAAAAAGAGGTCGATTGATCATGTATCGGTTGTTCGGGAGTTTACAGATGTGTTTCGGGAGAATCTTCCTGGAGTTCCTCCAGAGAGGCAGGTGGAGTTGCGTATTTATTTAGTTCCTGGTGCAGCTCCGATATCCAAGGCACCTTATTTGTTGGCACCATCGGAGATGCAAGAGTTGTATACACCGCATCATGAGTTGTTAGACAAGGGATTTATCAGGCTGAGTAGTTCACCCTGGGGAGAACTGATATTATCTGTAAAAAAAGAAGGATGGCTCCCACAGAATGTGCATTGATTATCAGGAGCTAAGCAAGTTGATGGTGAATAACCGTAAGGATTGACGATTTGTTTGACCAACTTCATATCAAACTATCATCAGATGAGGGTTCGAGATGAGGATGTTCAAAAGACGGCATTCAAGACTTGTTATGGTCATTATAAGTTTGTGGTGATGCCTTTTAGGCTCAACAATGCACCATCATCATTCATGGATCTCATGAACCGGTTTTGCCGAACGATGTTGGATCAGTCAGTCACCGTGTTTATTGATGACATCTAGGTATATTTTGAGACCAAGGAGCATCATGAGGATCACCTGTGGGAGGTTTTGAAAACTTTGAGGAGGGAGAGGCTATATGCCAAGTTCTCCAAATGCGAGTTCTGGTTACGCGAGGTGCAGTTTTTAGGGCACCTTGTCAGCCAAAAGGGTATATTGGTCGATTAGGCCATGATGTAGTGGGAGATTATGAGGACTCTATCCGAGATTAGAAATGTCATTGGTTTAGCTGGGTGTTACTAGAGGTTTATCGAGAATTTCTCCTGGATTGCAGTTCCATTGGCCAGGTTAACAAAGAAGTATGTTACTTTCCATTAAGGGCCTGAGCAACAAGATGTGTTTGAGACTTTGAGGCAGAAGTTGTGCGAGTCTCTAATCTTGACCCTGCCATAGGGTGTGGATAATTTTCGTAGTATATTGTGATGAATCGATCTCGGGATTGGGATCAATTTTGATGCACTGCCTCGAGGCATTTGAATCCTCATGAGGGGAATTATCCCACTCATGATTTGGATATGAGGTGGCTGTGTTTACCCTCAATATTTGGCATCGTTACTTGTATGGGGTTCGTTGTATTTGTACATGGGCACAAGAGTTTGAAGTACTTGATGGCTCAACCAAATATGAACATGAGGCGGCGCAAGTGGCTTGATGTGGTGAAGGATTATGATTGTGAGATCCTTTATCACCTGGGGAAGGCCAACATGGTGGTCGATGCTCTTAGTTGTAAGTCGGCTAGAGCACGAATCATAGACGCTTGTTTGAGGATGACGGTGATTGCCCCACTCTTAGAGCATATTCAAGAGGTTTAGGTAGAGGCTATGAAAGAGGAGCACCGGAATAGTGACCCATAATGGGTAAGGTGACTTCTTTTGATTATGACAATCGTTGATTATTGACCCTTCGTTAGAGAGTTTGAGTTCCATACTGCGGTGGTGTGCGGCAGATTTTGATGGAAGAAACACACAAGTTTAGATTTTCTATTCATCCGGGAGCGACGAAGATGTAAAGAGACCTCTGGCTCTATTATTGGTGGCCATGAATGAAGTGTGATGTGGCTTGGTATGTGGTGAGGTGCTTGACTTGTAGGAAATTCAAGGTCGAGCATCAACAACCTCATGGAAAAATGGAGTTGTAGGGTGTTCCCGTTTGGAAATAGGAGGAGGATTATGATGGACTTTATCACAAAGCTACCACAAAACCGCACGAGGGGTGGATTCGATTTGGGTAATTGTGGATCGATCGACCAATAGTGCACATTTCATTCCTATTCAAAAGAGAACTTCCACAGAGAAGTTAGTGGATGTTTATATCCGGGAGGTTGTAGCACAACACGAGGTTCCCATCTTGGTGGTTTCTGATCGAGATGTGTGACAACTCTCAATTGTGGGTCAACCAGAGTCAACAAAAGTCAACCAGGACAACTCAAACTGTATTAGAATTTTAGATGAATTGTGATATTCCCTAATGCGTACAAATGTACGATTAACAAGTTATCATACAAAGCACCACTCTTATTGGAAATTATAGAACATAAACCCTAAATAAGGTTAGTATCGTAACAATTCGGTAATTCAATTTTATATTGTTTTAGTATAAATAATAT